ATGTGTCTATCGATCCGACAACACCGCGCTCTCACGGCGGACGATGATATATATTTCTGAGTATAAGCCGCCTCATAAATTGACGGCTCCTCACCTTCGAGTTGGCTTGCGCGACATGGACATCTACAAGGAAGTGGTGAACCGAAAAACGATACCAACTGCCGCCGACCCCGATGCGCTTTTTCGGTATCACGCAGAGCGGCTGACAGCGTCGGCCATCACACAGACGTATCATTACATGATAGAGAGTGGTCTGGAGTATGGTCTGCTCACCACTGGTGAAGCGATCGTGTTCCTCAAGGTTGACTGGGGCGATCCAACGACGCTGTATTACCACCTAGCTGAACCTGCTCACGAGGTGATGCCTCACCCAAACCATTTCCACATCTGTACGGCTGTTGGGCAATACTTGGCGTTCACTCTCTTGGCGCTAGGCGACCCCGGAGAAAGACGGGGACATGGGCAAGACGAGCGTGACCGGGCTCGCACAGGTCTGAAGACGTGGAACGAAGACTTTGAAACGACGTTGCGTTCCATTCCAGCAAGCGCAAGATCAGCGCCAGACAGCTCATCCGACTACGCACCAACTACCTATGGAGGTGTCGATCGATCGCCGCTTGTATCCCGAAGAAAGACGCGTCAATACTATCGGGATCACCCTGACGAGCACTTTACGCGACATGAGGACAAGAATCCATCAGACGACGAGTCAATGTCCAGGCCGCCGGACACCCCCACGCCTCTTGGGCGAGGAGTGAGGCAGACGACACGGCGAAGCGAGCGACTAGCGCATCGGACTCGTGGAGGGGGCAGCCAGCAACAGCGGCAGTATTGCACTCAGAAATGCCTCCTTGGAATGGTTAATGGACGATTGCTAGACCTAAAGTGTCCGAACCTGTTATCCCATAACAAGGGCAATACAAAAATTGGCCCAGGTAAACACCCAGTAAGTCACAGCGAGTTTCTTCGCTTGCTTGAGAGACAGCTGAAGGATTCTCTTGACGACGGGATTGTCCCACTGGGGGTGGGTGGCGCGCGGGGCGTTCTTTTCCAGGTATCCCTGCTTGCATACGGGTACACCTTCATAAGCAAGGGCACCGTACAGGCGTTCATCAAAGATCTTGACCACGAAAGAGCAGTTTATGAGCGTCTCAGACCAATTCAGGGCATGTTCGTGCCTGTATTCCTAGGCGTTGTCGACCTTCGGGCAATGGACAGGATCTACTACTACGACCACCGGGTGTATATAGTACACATGACATTTCTGTCCTGGGGAGGGTGCAGCATCGAAAGAATACGTTCGACAACAGGCAATAGCGTATCAGAAGACGCCGCTTTGCGATCATTACGAGCCCTGCACTACGAAGGGGTGATCCATCGGGATGTGAGACTTGCGAATATGTTGTTCAACTCGGAAACGGGCACGGTTATGATGATTGACTTTGAGCGGTCCACGCTTCTGGAAGCGCCTCGCTTACCACTGGCGCAGATAGTGCCGAATAAACGGTCGTGGAGAGAGGCAAGAGTTGCTACGGCTAAGAAAGTGAGCAATGTACGAAGGCAGGGGTTTGCGGAGGATATCTGTGGGCTAAGAGTACTTTTCCGAGAAAAACAGTATAACGGTATTTGCGGGTCGTGCAGAGATTAGGCGTATTCACTATGGCTGTTATCGGCTCTTAGACATGACAAGACAGGAATATCTGTATCCATTTTCACACCTGTACAGTCAGGAACAGGTTTAGCGTCCACACTCTAGGCTAAAAAAAATTCAGATTTAGTCATGTTTAGGCCGATTTTGGCTGCCACCACAACATCGTTTTATGGATCCATGTGGACGCTGAACCCGAACCCAACTGTATGGGTGTCGCTAGAGCTTTTAGTTAATTTC